CACTGGCATAGTTATTCAGAAATGTGCACACCTTCAATTCTTTCATTTAACCAACATTTATTAAGATATGGGAGAAAAAAATAGTCAGATATGACAATTTCTTTTTCTACTTTCTTAAACAGCATGTTTAAACAATTTTATCCTCTCTTCTTTTATAAAATAAGCATCTATGGCCCTAAATACTCCCTTTAAATACTAATTTAGCTACATCCCCAAAGATTAGATATGCGGCACATTTTTATTGCTGTTTGGTCCCATATTTCCATCTGGATTTTTTTATTGACTGAGTTAACTGAATTTCCATATTTAAGAGGTTTTTATGGCTATGTTTTTGTAGTCATATTTAAATGCCTTAAAAAGAGATCAACTGTTGAAATGTTCCATATGTGCTTGAAAATAAAGGGGTGTCCTCCAGTTGTTGAGATTCTGTTCACTGGTTGTGTTAATCGGCTATGTCCTGCCTGAGTTTGTACTGCTGGAGCTCACAACCCCTCAGAGAGTTACGTTACTATCTCCCACCGTGATGGTAGATTTATCCATATAATTTAGTAATTCTGACAATTTGTCCTTAATATATTTTGAGTCCACGTTACTAAGATCGTACAATTTTTAAACTACTATGTCGCTCTGGGTTATTAAACCTTTTATCAAAATCTTTTTTTTTTTTTGGTGAGGAAGATTGGCCCTGCGCTAATATCTGCTGCCAATCCTCCTCTTCTTGCTTGAGGAAGATTGTCTCTGAGCTAACATCTGTGCCCATCTTCCTCTATTTTATGTGGGATGCTGTCACAGCATGGCCTGATGAGTGGTGTGTAGGTCTGTTCCCAGGATCTGAACCCATAAACCCCAGGCTGCTGAAGCACAGCATGAGAACTTGACCACTATACCACTGGGCCAGCCCCTCAAAATCTATTGTTAATAATGCTTTTCATAAGTTTTAATAATGCTTCTTTTTCCTAAAAATCCATTTTATGAGCAATTAAACAGCCGTCTTTTGGATAATATTTGCTTGGTATTTAATTTTCCCTTCTTTTCCTTTCAATCATTTTGTTCTCATGTGTTTCAGGTGTGTCTTTTATAACCTGAAAGAAAGCTGGACTTTCCTCTTTTAATCCAGTCTAGGAATCTTTGTCTTAATCTTCAGTTAGTGTATTTACATTTAATTTCATTACTGTTACATTTGGTCTTATTTCCACCATTATTTGAGTGCGCGCTGCTTCTTTGTTCCATTTTCTTCTATTTCACTCACCTCTCACCTTCTCCCTTTTTTTTTTTTTTTTTTTCACTAATTTGACATCTCTGTTTTATTTCAATCCCCTGGATGGTTATCCTAGCCATTTGAATGCGTCTTTAACTTCAAGGATTTAACGTTGACACACATGGACTGACCTGATTCCTGGTCCAGGCACTGCTTCCAAGGAGGTTAAATGGGGCAACTTCCAAGGAGGCCCACAGCCTGAGGTTCGATGACAGCAGTGGACATGAACTTGGCACAGGACCCATGACCTTTGCAGGTGCGATCCTCTGTCTCTCCTGGGAGAAGAGGGGGTCCTCCACAAGGCCCCCTGGGGCATCTACCATGCTGATACTGGACAACCATGCGATCCTGCCCTCCCTGGGACTTGAGGCCTCCAACTCCAAGTGGGGTCACCCAAGGAGCATGAGGAGGAGGCCTGGGTGCTGGAGGCCTTGAATGTGGCCAAGGCGCATGAGACCCAGCCTTCCAGCTATAAATTCATGGTGCAGAGGGAAGCCTCTGAGGAGAAGCAGCCCTTGTCTGTCACCAGACAATTCACAGAGGAGGAGAACCCCATGTGTCAGAAATGTGAAAAGTGTCCTCAGAAATTATACACCAGGGGAAAGCCTTCCACATTCGGCCCCAGGAAGTTCCAAGCAAAGAAGGGTGTTTCGAGTGCAGCGAATGTGAGAGAGCCTGGAGCCAAGGCTCCCACTTCCTTTGGAATTAGAGAACCCACACTGTGGAGGACTAAGGAGTGCCATGGACATGGGGAAGCCTCCTTCTCCAGCTCCTTAGGACTCATTAGGATTCTTGATTCTTAAAAAATGTGGAAAGTTCTTCTTCATTATCTCTTTAAATCTTATCTTTCCACCATTCTCTCTATTATTTTCTTCTGGAAATCCAATATTTGAAATTTCTTATTCTAGTCTCCATGTTGTTTAACTTCTCTTTTACATATTCCATCTATTATATTTTTCTGGCTGCACTTTGAGCTATTTTATGAAGTCAAATTTCAGATCTAAGCTACAATTTCTCTTTTATCTATGTCTTAACCTATTTTGTAAATTTTTTTTATCCATGCTGTTTAACCCATTTTGTAAATTTTGTGTCAATTATGATAATTGTTAATTTTACAATTTCTCATGTGCGCACATGCGTGTGTGTGTTTAATCTTTTAATCTGACTGGATATTTCTTATAGTTTTGTTTTTTAATCGTTTGTTATAGGCACTTTCATTTTTTAAACACATCAAACACACATATTCTCTCTCTGACAACTTCAATTTCTGTATTCCTTCCAGGTTTGAACTCTGCTTGCTCTTACTCATGATGGTTTGTTTCCATTTGTGATTTTTCTGAACGTTAGTTCATGCTCCATGAAACATTACCTGAGGGACTCATTATTTGAGGACTCCTTTGAGAGCAAGCCCTCCTGGGAGGATTTGGGTGCGTCTCAGCTCGGTTTCTAGCATAACCCACTCACGGCTGAGTTAAACAACATTCTAGACCCAGGACGTTCTGTACCACACAGAAAGAGTGAATATTAGCCTGAAACTCAGGTAAAGATGGGTTCGTGCTTACAAATTCTTAGGAGTAACATTTTCCCCTCTACCTAGAGTAAAAACAAAACAGTCAAGGATTCCTAGCACCTTCCTCTCCAGTGATCCCACAATGGTATCATATTTTACAGGTGCAGGTTTGTGTAGGATTCCGTGGTTTCACTCTCCACATTGACGAGGACCTAAACTCAGCCGTGGTCTCTGGTGTGTGTCCGTCCAATCTGAGCCTCTAACCCACAATGGTCAGTAGTTGCCTCCAAGGTGGCAGCTGGCTTCAGCTTACACAATTTCTTCTCCAGACTCCAGCCTTCTAATTTTTTGGTATATAAATGTTTCTTTACTATGTTGTCAGCACAGCCATCCTTTTAAAAACACATGTTCATGATTGAATCCAGTATTTTTATATGGTGTCTACTGCAAGCACAGTTAAAGGCATTAGTGCACGGTGCTGTCAGAAATACAGCTGCCATATAACAATTTACACTGAATTCTATGCATTGATATCCAAGGTAGGTTGAATATCCAATAAGCAAAGGTCATGATTTTCAACCCCACTCAACACAGTTGCTCCCTTTGACTGATTTGAAGCTAAATCCTTAACGATGCACAATTGTCTATTCAGCTGTGACCAAATCCTGCCAATTAAAATCAAGGTACATGAGAGGTAGTCAGACTGTCAATGATTGAGGCAGATTCTCAAAGGATCTCACACTACTGTAAAGATGGTATGGAAACCATAATGTTATAAAAGCAAGGGGATGCACATATTACATTTGTATGCATGCACATATACATAATTATACTTAAGAATTGTGCCTTATAAAATGTATACACTTTAATTTCATCCCAGTGGCAAATTTGCAAGACTGTATTATACCTTGATATCTGTGAGTGACATACAAGTCATTATTTTTCTTCAGGGATTTCTGTCTTCAGGATTTGCATTAATAAAACTCTGTTCATGGTCCCTGGCCCTCATTAGATGGAGAATGATCGTTACTGCTGCTCAACGCTATCCCAGAATCCTTACAATCATCCAGCAGATTGGAGAGAGGAGACACGTCTAATGATCCTAGCTCAAACACTGTACCTGTTGCTATTGACAGACTTTGTTCCTTAGAGAAGATATTGACTGCCAGCTGGCTGTGACAGTTTGTGAACTAACTCTGACATTTGCGTTGGCACCGTAGTAGTATTTACAGCTCAGGAAATATATGCAATCAGGTTATGATGGACCTGGTGATTTTCGAGGTAAAACGTATAACAATATACAAATCACAGACATGACCATAATAATAAAATTATTTTTAAAATAACTTCAGTACTTAGAGTCTCTTTCAAGAGATATCTGCTCTGTATGAGACTGGTGGCATATGTTTGCAAAGAGAAGAGATTCAGAGAACAGAGGATGGTGAGTCAATCATATAGCTGGTCCTCCAGACTAGATTTTAAACAGTCCACTATGTCAGAAAACTGCCAAAGAAAGGGAGAAAGAGATAAAGCAAGAAAGAAATTTTGCTCTTTTGGTTTTTGTCTTTTTTAGATACAGGTGATTTCTTTTTTTTGAAGATTGGCTCTGAGCTAACATCTGTTGCCAATCTTCCTCATTTTCTTTAATCCTCAAAGCCCCAGCACATAGTTGTGTACCCTTGTTGTAAGTCTTTCTAGTTCTTCTATGTGGGACGCTGCCACAGCATGGCTTGATGAGCGGTGTGTAGGTCTGCGTCCAGGATCTGAACTGGCAAACCCCAGACCACTGAAGCGGAAGGTGAGAACTTAACCACTTGCCCACAGGGCTGGCCCCCAAGAAAGCAATTTTTAATGATGTGTACTGTAAATATAAAATATCACAGCATCAGGAAAAAGATTAACATTCTAGGTTTATTTTCTTTGGCCAGGCTCCAAGCTAGCTCTTCTTTATATTCCATGAATTTCACTTTCTAAGGGTTTAAAGCAGCATGTTTTAACATAGTCACCCAAAACGGTTAAGTCTCTAGGAAAGTGACACTGGAATGCAATGACACAGGTAGAATGTTTGGTGAATATTATAGACACTTTTGAACATTTTATCACTCTTGGTGAATATTGTCATATGGAAGAAAAGTCAGTTAGCATTTTTGTCTCTATTCCATTTTCCTAGTAAACACTGGAGATGCTGTCATTTTCTTGTTTTAGAAAGAATGGATTTGACCAGGTACTTACAGCTCTCGTCCCAGGGCAGTTTGGAGACTGGCATTCACCACTCATCCGATTTGGGATTAAGACATCTTCCCAGCAAGATGGACCCTTTGAGAAAAAAAAAAAAAGAAACTCTTGGTGCACAAATTATAAAGCAAATGTACTCCCTAATACATCTCTAAAATCTGTCTATTTATATTATAAAATAACAATGAAGTTAATGTGTAGTCCAATGATTTGCAAAGTATGGTCCATGACACTTGGGGGGGATCCAGTAGGTCAAAACTATTTTCATAAATATACTAACATAATATTTGGCATATTGTTTCAAACATGTAGTACATTTACACATAGGAGTCTCCCACTGCAGTTCAATTTAATTGTTTAAACACTTAATTAAATAATTTTTCTTAAGTTCATTGCAATTCCAATTGATGACCTTAAAATGAAAAGACATGTGCAGATGACACTCAAGAGGATTGTTGGGGGCAGTAGAGGAACAGGCTGAGGCACACCTTCAAGGACTACCTGTCCTGGTTGGCAGGCTGAGCAGACACATTTATTTCCTCTCTCCTGATGCACTGTTAGAATTACATTTAAAAACTAGCACCGTGTAAACCCATAATACCAATGAGAACTGAGCATACTTTTCTGGAAATCTGCAATAGCCTATACCAGAGGAGGAGACCTCTGTGCCCTGCAGGACCACAAAGAGTCTGAAGGCTCAAGAAAAAGGCAGATGGGAGAGAGCAGAGTGAGACTCAGAGCAGCAAACAGAGAGAAAGTTAAATTGTTATGAACAGAAGATCCTAGAATCTTCTAGAGAGAAAGGTCAGGTCATTTACTTGGAAACCAAAATCCAAGTAGAATTTTTGTGTGTGTGTGTGACATGCATGTCATGACTGATGAGCAGAGTGGGTCTGCACCTGGGATCCGAACCTGCGAACTGAGGTGGCCCAAGTGGAGCACATAGAACTTTAACCACTTGGCCATGGGGCCAGCCCCAACCAAGCAGAATTTTAAAGTAGTAGCAAATACCTTTAAACTTTGGTGGGAAAGATTTTCGACCTAAAATTCTCTATCTAACCTAATTATCAATTTGGTGGGAGAATGGTAAAAAGTGATTTTGGGATAAGCAAAGAGTTGCAGAGTTGACTTTTACGCCTGGGAAGTCTCAGAGTTCAGGAGAAGGTCAGGCAGCCTGAGGGAAAGCTGTAAGTGGCCCAGCTTTGGCCTCCCCCACAGTGTGTGACTCTGAGGAAAGCCATGGGAGAGTTGGGCCAGCGTCTCTGTAGCTGTGACAGAGGAGATGACAGAGCTTCCAGCAGATGTGTTATAAGGGCCAGTGCCCAGCCAGGGTGGAAGAAAGTTAGGACAAAGGGGTGGTGGTTGTGGTGATTTTGAGGCCACATCAGAGGTTTAAGTTAGGAGAGAAATTTCTCATCACCAGTCAGCACCAGGATCACCCGCTCCAGCATCCAGACCAAGTGGCTGTCAGGCCACATTGCAGCAGAAACTAGTGAAAACATGGACGGCACACAAGGATCCCAGCTACTATTGCACGTCAACATGAGCAATCACACGCCCTCTCTCCTTCCTTCACCAACACACAGAGACACATAGATGCATGCACACACCCCCCACACCAAAGACATACACACTAACACACATACATTATACACACTCACATACTATAGCACACATACACCACTTCACACATACACACACACCATACATACACTCACACACCCACTCATGCACACACAATCTGCTCATATACAACACAACATGCACAATACATCATGCATGCGCACACACTCATGCACAAACACACACTCATACATGCACACATTCATATGTGCATACACACACTATTTTAAAGAAAAATGGGGAAGCAGAAGAAATCTGCTTCTGAGCATGCACCTTGAAGAAACTGAGCCGAACTTCTGTAGAGGCTTTTCAAACCAAGCCTCAAAGGGAGCCAGATTTTGAATTCACAGATCATTCAACCGGAAGCCACTGCCTAACCTGGAGGGAAGGAAGCGACTGTGCAGGAAAGAGTTAACAGAGACAGCCCGAGACCGTGGTCCTTGGACAGGCTGTTTCCAAGGCTGGCTCTTAGCTGGCATCCAGGAATTTGGATTTGGGGAGTGTCCCCCCAATTCCCTTACTCATATAGAGAATTTGCAGCATCTAAAATATCTGTGTGGACAACGTGGTTTGTGCTGAACACCTTCTTACCCCCTGGGGGTCTGGAATTGTGGTGAGCACCAGGTAGGGGTCCACACATGACAGCTCCCGTAAAAACCAGGGGCACTAAGTCTAAGGAGCTTCCCCGCAGACAACACTTCACCTCTGCTGTCACAGCTCATTGCTGCAAGAACAAGTGTGTCCTGTGTGAGGGCTTCTGGAAACTTGCCTGTGGTTTTCTCCAGACTCCACTCTATGTGCCTTTTCCCTCTGTGGCTTTGTGTCCGCTCGCTGCAATAAATCTCTCACACACGTGTGTATGACTATACCCCGAGTTCCAAGTCCTTCCAGTGATCACCGAATCAGGACGTGCAAAGCGGTCTAGGACCCACAACCCAGTGACATGTGATTCATCACTGGGGCATGTTCTCCCTGATACAAAGGAGAGTCAGGACTCTGAGTAAGAGCCCATTAGCAATAGGGAATAAGAAATTTCATTTTCTGTGCACAACTAAGCATGGGGCATACATTTACAGTCCACTCTAGACATAATGATGTAAACACACTTGATTTTCAACCTGATACAATCACACTGTCAAACACGGACAGAGGATTTTAATTATGGTTATGTAACCAAACATCTATGTTATTCAGCTAGGACAATATAGAAGTAAAGGTACAAATGTTAACGATTGGAAGCCCACCATGGAGCTAGGAGAGCAGGGAAGGGAGATTAGCATCCCCATAGCACAAGCTGCTCTCTTATTTTAAGGCCACCTGCATATTCGACTTTTAAACACATGCGTATATTCATTTGATAAAAATGACAAATGTACTGAAATAAAAGAGCGCTAGAGAAATGCTGCCTAGACCCTTGATCACATTCATTGGCCCACTTTCCTAACGGCGAGTGAGCAGCTCAGTGGAGTCACGTGTGGCCAGAATACAGTCACCCTTATCATCTTCCAGTCCTTTTACTAGGACCCGGCGGGGACAGCTCGGGGTTTGTTTGTTTGTTTTTTTATCATTGTCTCTGTAGGGAGTGCTTTGTTCTATCTCATGGATACTGTGAATCAGGTTTCTTTCGTTTCTAGAAAACTAGGAAAACTTTAGAGTCAAATTTGTGGCCCAGCTCTGGGAACCTTATATACCTTATAATAAATGTTAGGTTTACTAATATTACCCTTGGCTTCATTTTATTTTCCTTTGATCTCTTTCTTCATCTCATTAAATTTTTCTTGTTTTTAGTCTCAATGTATCCCTGCAAGCCTTGTCAGATCCCGTAGAAGTGAGGCGGGGTGTAACGAAATAATTTTGAGGGCCTTGTGACCTTTCTCTTTTAACTCTCCAAATTTCCGATAGGTTCTAATAAGAGTGGCTTCTCATGCGCCTTCCATCGGGGATAGCAGCCATCTGTCCTCAGGGAACATGGTGGCCTCTGTGAGGACCACAGTGTTTGGCGCTGGCTCACACATCCTGGCTGGTGGAGACAATGGACATCAGCACACTTGAGGATCTGGGAAGTCCTTGGGTTTAAAAGAAATCCATTTCACCGTGGATAACTAGTGCCTAAAAGAAGGACGTTGCTTCCCTGCTCTACCAACACAGAAGGAACAGTCTCTTCTGACTCTGATTCAGGCAGCACTGACCTACTTACAGCACACACAATGGTTAAGAGAGAAACCTAACACTGCAACAGCCTGGAGAAGGAACACTCATCATCAGATGCAGGACTTAGGTCCCATTTGCATTTCACTGCTCAGAGTAAGATTTCCTGCCTCAAAGTCCAGGATGAAATGAAACTTTCTGTGCATATCACAGATATTTATTTTTCATGCCTTAATTTTTCAGAGTCCAAAAAAGCAACACAAACGTTTATGTAACAATTCCTATAATTGTCACAGAAGGTACTGCTTTATCTCACAAATCTTTGTTTTGTACAAGGAAATTATGGAAAACTTAATCCACAATTTTCTTCTTGATATCAAATCATAACAAAATAATGGAAGTAATAAAACTGAACAGAATTCCGTTGGATATGGGAATTCAAGATAATGATCTGCAGGCGCTAGTTTATCCACACTACTCATACTATTAGTATTGAACGCTATTGCTATAACTACCCTGGATTAGAAACAACTGTCCCAGTGAATTTATGTGATTACAAAGCTGATTTAACTTGCTGTTTTCTAGTTTTAGAAAATAACAAAAAAAATTAATTGGTTAATGATTGCATACTGTGTTTTAATAGTTGCATGGTTAAAACATTTATAATTAATAGTCTTTAAATAGGAGTAAGAATGGTCTCCAGGCTACAAAATTAAATAGGACTTCACAACACATGGCAGCCAAAGGGAGCTATGGATTAGAATGCGTCAAGGAGAGAATCCCAAAAAATGTATTTCATCTCTCAAATGTCGAAAATTGGAAAAAGACGTCTGAAAAAAATGTCAGATAGAACAGTGTGAAATATATGTCTTAATAAAGAATTATTTGGCTGCTTTTCAGAAAACTTTCTTCTTTTTTGGCCCAGTAATGGTTACAAGTGAGAAAAATACATAAATGACTTGAACATCTATACCAAGGGTGAGCAAACTATAGCCTGTTGGTCGAATCTGGCCTAGGGTTTGTTTTTGTACAGCCCACAACCTAAGAAAGGTTTTACATTTTTAAATGGTTGAAAAGCATAAAAAGAACAAGAGTATTTCCTGGCACAAAAAAGGTAAATGATATTCAAATTTCCATGCCCAAAAATTAAGTTATATTGAAACATGGTGGTAGTTGTTCATGTATGTACCGTCTATGCTGCTTTCTCACTGCAAGGGCAGAACTGAGTTGTTGCAACACAGAGCATGTGGCTCACAAAGCCTAAAATATGTAATATCTGGCCCTTTATGGAAAAAGTTTGGCAACCCTTG